TTAAGGACAATATTGTTTCCTATTTTTTACAAAATTTTAGAACATAATTAGAATAATATAACGTAGAATAATAATTTTTTTAATCTTAAATTTATATACAGAAATAATAAGATTATAAATAAGTAACATATTTACACATAAATTTAAAACTAAATTTTTAGAGCAAATGAAATTATATTAGCTATATATAGTTTAGTGTTTTTATTCATACTTATATACATAGATATGTAATTAATATATAATATATTGCTTGAAACGAGTATCTGGTTAAGAGAATAGGTGGGGGCTATAGGCAGCACGGGTGAGTGTAGGTTTTTATGAGAGGAATCAAGATTGCCTCTTAAGAACTGGAAGTGTTGACATCTTCAGAGTGACCTCACTGATTGATTTTGCTTACACAATATTTTTTTTTTCATTCCAAATATTAAAACAATGAGATATTCAACTGATATTAATAATTTTACTATGATATTAAAACCCATTCACAAAACTTAATTTTGCATGAAATCGCACATGGGAAATTAGACGTATTATTATTAGCTTATTACATTGCAGTGAACTTGGAAGAATGGGACATAATAGATAAGCTGTTAGCTAGATAAATATTATAATAGAATAATATATCTATCTACTGGAAGCAAAAAGGACATATTTGTTTATTGCTACCTCGAAAAAAAAATAGTTTCTTTCCAATTTAAATAACAGATAAGCTATATTAATTGTAATCGAATAAACCTGATGACTAGTCGATAAATAAATTAAAAAATTAACAAACATAAAGTACGTTGAGAAACTACGAGAGCCTTTTTTGAATAAATGAGATATGGTGATACTTGTGTCTATATATTGAGAATAGTTACTTGCAATCAGTCACTTAAAATGAAGGAAAAAAGAATTTCTACTCGTCCTACTGTTAAGATGTCATATAAACCACGCAAATGTAGTAGTGGATATAGATATGCCAAACCATACACCGTATAAAATTAATATCAGGTCCCTTACGGAGTTGGCATAGTGCCAATATAACTATATAGTAAGTATCTACTCGTATATACTTTATCGTACTTCATCTTTTGCTTTTTCCAGTTGCATGATTCCTTCAACTTGATAAGTACCACAATATATATATATATATATATATATATATATATATATATATATATATATATATATATATATATATATATATATATATATATTGCGATTACTATAACTACGCATTAAATTATATAACTTAACATTTAATCATCAACAATAACAAAAACAGTAGTAGACAATGCCTCAGACTGCGTTACATTGCTGTCGAATCATGAGTACATTTTAACAATACATATATCATGCCATAATGAAGCTAAAACTGTATATCACAATTTCAAAATAAAAAATAACGTAAAATACTTCTGAAATAATGAAGCATTATCCTAATGACTGAAGGACCTTTTAATCACAAAGGGCCACCTAATATGGCTAGAAATAAACGGGAGTGCGATAATAATGGAACAAAGTATACGTATAGAGGGAAACGTTTTCATGAATTGGTTCTGACGTCTAATACAAATGTACAATGTATTGTATGTATTGTATTGTTAAGATGAGGGTTACCGAACGCAAATGTAGAACAAAGACGTATCCATGCAACATTAAATCACAGGTAGTATTTTTAATTGACTACGTTATGTAAACCCATTATACATAAAATATTAAAATACTGCTAAACGTTGATTATCAAATTTTACTATTAAAAAACTTAAATCTATGCTAAAAAGAATCCTGCAATGTTGAAACGATTTTCTAGATAGATGTACCAAAATATTTTAAGCATATCTATTAAAATATCTTTTAATGATATTGGCGTATTAATCCTTACTAATGTTATAAATGTAGAAATTAATTTGCTTGTTTGTTTACTACCTTATACCTTCTTAAGGGTTTAATCAATCACTATCACATCTCCCATATTTAGAACTAACAAAATTTTTCATCGTGCTTCCCACCAAATTGTTTATAATTACTCCTCTCCATCCAAAGGTTGCCTGGAAGAGATCGCTCTTAGCGATAAGGTCGCCCATTGTTTTCTCATTGTGATTATTTCTTGTAATTATTTATATTTATAATAAGTTTACTATTGTAATCTTTTGAAGGAAACAATAGAGTATCTATCTATCTATGATATTTGGTACAAACGTACTATATATATATATAGGATATATAGGATAGAGTAGGATATAGGATACTTTTTACTCTAGTCCGCAAACATATTCCGGTTACATGGACGCGGTAAGTTGCAGGTGAAAGTTGTGTATGAAATAATTCATAATATTCAAAGTAGAATTTTGCATTTTAAGTTTTTAAAAAAAAATGTATTATTACTTAATACACGAACAGAACAATAGTCCTATATATATACCCTTTATTTTTTAATTTGGGTAATATCAGTATTGGTACAATATCTATATATTGAAGTTCTCTGGACATTGATGGCGGAAAAAATATTTACTCTTTTCAAAGTTACCCATATCAGTTAAATATCTATATTTATTTCAATAGTATATATGAGATAAACATTATTTGATATATTCGTTAATGAACCAATATATAGATATTATAACTTCAATATATATTACTATTACTATATATTTTATTACTCACCCCCAGTTCTTAAGATAGGTATTGACCATTCATGAGAGCAGTGACTTAGTAATTTTACTGATATTTTTTTCTAGCTGGTATTTATCTTTAAACATAATCATGCAATAATTATGAGACAGAATAGAAGTAATCATTATTCAAATAGCCTCATTTACAAGCTTTTTTAAAAGCGTCTTTATTTATGATTCTGCTATTAGTTCCGGAGTGTTGACTTTTACTGAGAAGAGCCCAGAGGTAACTTAACAGTTAGTCTTTTTATTTTGTTTATTTGTATGGCTATAAAATACATGTAGCCATGAAAGAATAACTATTTGATAACAAAAACATAAATATAATAGAGGTAATTATGCATATAACTTTACAGTACTTATGTATTTAAAAGTGTGTTTACTACTGAGCTACATAGAACATATTAAGAATTGTTACTTGCGAGATACCCCAATCCAATTTCGATGCATGTAGAGATTATAATATCATATTGGCTGATTCCATTTACCTCCGAATTGACTGAAACTTCTATTCTCCCTCACAGTGAAAGCAAATACACAAATGTTCATATAAAAGACTATGTACAAAATATGAGTTTCATTAGCAACAATCAAATAATACTGAGATACTTAAATCGTGTTTTAACACTAAAATTATCCGACATATATTTGATCAGAATGGTTAATACTAAAATGAGCGACGATGGCATAATGATAATAAAATAATTATCAAGAACAACGACGAGAAAAATGGGATCAACATCAATGCAATCCACAATGAAGAAATTATGATTATTGATAAGACAGTAACAGAGTGATTACTAAAAACTAAAGAAATAAGCGAATAGCAAGTGCTAATTTCAGCACTTGCTATTCGCTTATTTATTATTTGTATGAGTTACACTAAATCATAAATTCTTAGCAAACGGCATGAATGTTAAAAAAAAAAAGGAACATTGTTGTAAATAGTAGGATGCAGTAATAAAACATATCTGTATTTGTGATCTAAAATTTAAAGTTTAGTGAAAAAATACGAGACATGTCTTATAAACATCTGACATATAACGAACTTAAAAATAATACATTGTTCTAAAAAACTCAGTGTCAACAGCCAGTATTAAAACTCCAACAAACATAATAGCACGCGACATTGATCAGTTAAAATGGATAATAATTACAGCTGGAAAAAACTCAAGACGCAGCCTTAGAAAACTATAAATAACGGCTAGTAGGAATTTCAAAATTATAATGTAACTGAATAAGTTGTTTTGAAATTGCAAAATCAATATTATTATGGCGCCTTAAAGTTGAGAATACGGATAAACCTACTTCCACTTGCCACTAGCGCTATGCTACAATATATGAAAGCGATAAACTCAATAATAGAATACAGTGAACTTCCGCTAATAAATAAAAATAATAATAAAAAACAATGTTATATATTTTGTGGTTTTGTTGTGGATTGCCGCAATTCAACGCAGCCTGTGACAATACAGCCAGCGTTCATGTTGTCAACCCTGATTTGTTCATATCAAGTAGATTATGTGACTAGCAACCACCAAGGGTTACTGGCTTGTACTTCTGCATTTTATCATATTTCAAACATTTTGTTTCAAATTATTTGAGTAAATTAGAATATAAAAATATACTTTCATTTAGCCGACAAAAAATCTATACGTTGAAAAACATGAATAAATTTAATTCATAGTTGTATTAGAAGAATTAATTTTAGATATAAACTATTCTCTATTAAACCAACGAGAGTTCGTGTTGAATATTTTCGGTCAAGACATGCAAGTTACAGGCGAGTGTGTGTAGACTTTGTATGAGTAAGTATATTTGCATTAAGTCGGTACATGTATCGGATTACGATCCTGCCTGCTAAAGTATTCAACGTGTGTTTATAAAGAAACATTTCTACGGATTTACTGTGAAATTATATATATATTGCAATTCACGAATGTACAACAAATGATGCAAGCATTTATGTTGCCATATGATTTATATTTCTGCGAATTGATCGGAAATCTCGCCCAATATTGCGAACTAGTAATTGAATATCGTGTTTAAAAATTTAACACGTACGAATAGTTCTTAGTTGCGTTTGTTATAAGTTTTCCTGAATTGATACCTAAATAGCGGTTTAGAATATCCAACAAACTATATCTCGTATTAACGTTTCTATAACCGCAAAAACTTCCCGCTTTGAACACTAAAAACTTTATTAGACAATTAGCCCGCGGGTGCCGAATTAAAACTTGATATTACTTTAAATTGAAGTGAAATATATTTAACGTGGTGTCGCGCGCAGGTTTGAAGTTTTAATGCGAAGTCCGGTAGTTGTAATTAGAAGAGGTGTACCGTACGTCGCATGGTGCGGCGGCGCGACGGTCGATAGCTGGAGCGGCAGGCGGTGCCGTTAGTGGCCCGGGTCACAGTTGGGATCGATACCGGCGGCGGCGCGGCGGCATCGCGCGGCAACGGCACGAGTGGAGTATCCAGTCCGCCGCGACTTTGGCGGCGAACGCGCGACACGCACCCGCGCTCCTCCATGCTACCACGGCTCGCGCCATGAGCGCCCGCCCCCGCAGCGCGCCGCTTCTGCTCGCGCTGGCGGCTGCATTTTTACCGCAAGCCAACCATGTCGCGTGAGTACCACTACCACTATCCCACGTTTTTAATGCGACATAAAAGTTTACAGTTCTCCGATAAGATCGTAAATCTCGGAGAGCCAGTAAAATGGAATGTATTAGATTTACGATGTATGACAACATTAGTTTTTCCCCAAATAATATATTATGCGGAATACGTAATTTTATTTTCGGGCGGTAACGTAAAACTATGACAGCGCGTTGTGACGAAGACGAAATAATACGGACAAAACCGTGACCTTAGAATACTTGATGCCGCTGAAAACTCAAATGTAAAATAGCTTGTACTACAATAATTTCAACTAAGTACATAATAAGGATTTTTTTAAGTATTTATACAGAAAAAACATAAGCAGTATTTCAATGTATTGTTTTTTGTTCTTCTGAACTTCAGTGTAAAAAAAGAACTTTTTATAACTTTATACTAATTCATTTTCGTAATTATTTACAGGTGTTTTATTTTAAAATTTCATTTATAAACTCTATTATGACGTAATTACAATTTATAAAAAAAATATTATTACAAATTTTACAATTAAGGACTATCAATAGGTAGTTACTTCAAATAATAACATTATCAGTGAGAAAATAGAACAAAATTGGAGATGATAGCCTGTAAAGTGACAATAGATAGGTTTAGGAGATGATCTGAATGTTAGTCCTGTTTTTATCGATTCAACAAAGATTCGGCGGCGAAAGCTTTCATTTCATTGGAAGAGATTCGTTTATTATTTGCACAGACTTACAGCGTTTGCCAAGTCGTACCTATTTCAGCTACAAATACAGTTACTTATATAGCAAGCTGGTAACTTAGAGATTAAAATCTGTTTAAACATTCTTTGGAGATTCTTTTCAGCTAGATCAATTAAAAAGGACTTATAATTTACTTATTTCGCTTCATTAAGGGAATTAAATTTACAATTTAATTATTTTTTAACTTTAAATAAATAACATAACACTATCGAGTTACGATTGGTGTACTTCAAAATATTATGAATACATAACAATATTCAGACCAATACAAACATACTCATGTCTTTAACTACTACAAGATCTAAAAAGGTCTTTGATTCTTGGAAAGAAAAACATTTCTCTCTACAACATTCAAGTATTTATTTGCAAATAAACAAATACACGGTGAATCTCAATAAAATATTCTTACTTATTTAATCTTGACCTCCTGATCCTGACCTGATTCTGTTAATTAATATATATAGGTATATTTGAGGATCTATTAGAGGGTCACTCTGCACTGCGTTTACCTAATTAGATTCGTCCCTCGAGAATCGTCTCACCAATTATCTGCACTTTTAGTGATATACGATTATATAGTACGAACGAATAGCGAGAAATATAAAACAATACGTTTTCTTTGACAAAGAACCTTCACCTTTAACATTTAAATACTCGTAAGATAAACTGCGACATCATGTTTTCAATTTCACTTATAAGTGATCTCTTTTTTGCTTCCTTCTTCAAGGAAAAAAAAATAAAGGGTTGAAACTTATTTCACAATAAATCCACTATAAGAGCTTCCCATCAAGTACCTCTTCAGTTCATTATTCTACGATTATTATTTTAGGATTCCAACCCCAAAGGCTTCAAAATATGACTTTAAGTGGCTCCGCTTTATCCACCCGTACGGGTAAAAGTGATGCTCTGTTGTTCTATGGTAAACCTTCATTATTGGTTCAACTTCAACGCAGTCAATTTTCTTTACGAAATCTCACCCTTATGTTTTTCCAATTTATTACCTTTTAAAGTTATTATAATAATTTATTGTAGAAACATTGCGGATCACTTTAAAAATCTAATTAATACCCATAATAATAATAACTCCGAATATTAACAGTCTTAAACTAATCATTATAATTTTTACCCGTTATAACAGTTTAGATTTCCAATAATGAATTATAATAAAACTAATGGCCCGCTTCAGCTTCGCACCTGTTCAATTATCTATTTATACAAAATTTTAATCAGAATGTATATATAATATGGGCAAATTTTTCTGCAAAGAAACTATATGACCATCAACTCCTTGTCAATATTCAATGCGTAACTTAAGAGGAGTAAGGAAGAAACAAACAGACTTTAGAGACTTTGTTTTAATCAATTTGAAGTTGATATATTAAAGACTTGAGCATCAAATTGGAAAAATGATCAAGTACGAATCGCGTTGTTAATAGAATAGCAAGTAATACATAATCCTTCTCATTTTAACTCGTAACGTTGAAGCTTCATGGTTATTACGTAGTTGTCTGTGGGTTTCTTATAAGTAGAACGCACACTTATTTCTGGTTTTGTTTGTATTAATATTTCATTGATTGCAAAGTAGATTTGCTTACCCATATGGGTTTCTCCCATATTAATAAAGGACCAGCAGCTATGAATACCAAATATTGTATCTTTTTGCTTCAATTGGAAAATATTTTTTATGTATATATTATATTTACTTAATATATATCAGACATTAACTATCCACTGCTGAATATAAGCCTCCCCTCACTGGAGAGTTTTGTCAATAGTTGCCATACTTGGCAAGTGGATTGGCAATCGCAGTTTTCCTTTAGTGGTGTTTAAAGAGGGACGCTGTTGTCCTCAACTATTAATTCCCTGAGTCGCTTCTTATGTCATCCACGAAAAAGGAAGGGTGGTTCATTCTATGCCGGAACTACACGGCTCTTAACAATATATAAATCTGAGAATATACCCATGCTATTATCATCTAATAAAATATAATATTTACTTATATATGGTGAACTATTTTAGAATTTTTAATACTTTTAATCCTTATAGAATAAATATGCGATGATAAATATATGGAAATCAAAATTTCATTCCAAAATATATTTTGTGCACGCCGTAAATTTTTGCACCTACTTAAGGCTACAAAATACAATCTTCTACAACTTATAATACAGGAGAAAATAAAAAATTTCCAACAACATGAAAAAGACTTTAGACATCATAATTAAAAAATATAACTTAATGAGTGCTTTCTTTTGAGTTCAGGATACTTTTTAGTATATCGATAAGCAAAATGTCAACAGTAGTCGGCGTCCGATTAAAGATGATACTCAGAGAGGAAAATGGTGAACTATTTTAGAATTTTTAATACTTTTAATCCTTATAGAATAAATATGCGATGATAAATATATGGAAATCAAAATTTCATTCCAAAATATATTTTGTGCACGCCGTAAATTTTTGTACCTACTTAAGGCTACAAAATACAATCTTCTACAACTTATAATACAGGAGAAAATAAAAAATTTCCAACAACATGAAAAAGACTTTAGACATCATAATTAAAAAATATAACTTAATGAGTGCTTTCTTTTGAGTTCAGGATACTTTTTAGTATATCGATAAGCAAAATGTCAACAGTAGTCGGCGTCCGATTAAAGATGATACTCAGAGAGGAAAAAGAATCATATTGCAATTTATGACATAAAAATTATTCGAGTACTCGTAGTAAAATTGCGGCAAACCGATAAAAGCTACGACTTACAAATTAAGTGACAAATATCGACTAATTCTTTTAAACTCTATTGCATTGTAATAAAACAAAAAAATTGTAGAATATATTAAATTATTTCTGCTATATGAACCTCCTATGAAATTGCCTAACAGATAAAATTATCTTGTTCTATCATACTAAAGCTCATATATTTCATACATAAGAAATGACTTCTAAGTTGGATTATTTCTTTTTTCATTATTTAATTTATCATAAGTTTTTCATTACACTCTCCATTTTAATTGTCAATAAGTAAATTAGATAGCTTATCGTTTACCTATTAAGTTTTATATATAAATTATTCTGTTTCAGTTTAGTAAAATATTAGTTTGTTTTGTTTCATTATCAATTCGTCTCTATTATTATTCAAAGTAATTAAGAACTAACAGAAAATATTTTACAAACTATTTTTAGTTTACGTGGGACGTTAAATACTTATTGGCTGTAATATGATTAATCAAATTAGAATACTTACTTTAAAATAATATTTATGCATTTAATACACTTACACTCACGAAAGTAAAATAAATATTTTTTTCTCACACGCATGGAAATTTCTTCGTTTTTAAAAAATAATATGTCAATCAAAGCTTTTCGGTACGCAATGAAATAACATGACCGTAATCCTTAAAACAACATTAATTGAAATTGCTAGACAGCTTTTATAAATTCTTGAAATTATAGAAAAATAAATAAGCACTAATACGTATTAGTGTATATGTACTTTATTACTATTATTTACCAAAACTATCGAATTGTTATCAGTATTGTAAAATAAACCTTTGATCATTTACACTTTTATGTTTATCGAATTAATTAATTATTTTCTCGTAAATTAAAAGAACAGGAAAATACAAGTCTCGACTAAAATATCAATTAACGTCTTCATTTAATTTAAAAGGTTTCAGAAGGCGTCTCACTCATTTTTCAATCACTTCGGAAGTATTCTACTTTGTTACATCCTTTTTTTATTACTCGATCACCAACTAGTTTACTCATATTCCTTACCTCGATAAATTTATTGGTTAAATATAATATTATGTATAGCTTTCGTTACCAAATATCTACCGTAATCGTTACTATTATCATCAATGTCATTATTTTTGTTTACTATATAATATTTTAAGATTTTTACACAGATCTTGCTCCTCAAAGTTTTGCCACTTAGCTAAAAAATGTATTTGGCAGGGGAGCACCAATTTTAACTAAGGTAATGCGATGGTATGCCGAATTATAGCATGGACGAGTTTCTTTGAAAGGCAGTGTTAGTGAAGGTCGTCCTTTAACAGTGACTAACTAAGAAAACGTTGCTGTAAAGACGTTGCTTAAACACAACCGCATTCAAAATCAGTTTATGACATTGCCATGATCATGAAAGACCTCGTGTTTTAAAAAAATATCCCTTCAAGTGAAAAAAGTATTCAAAATTAATGATAAGGTTATAAACAAGAGTAAAACATAATAAATATAAGGT